CGCACACGCCCGCACGCCCGCAGCTCCGCACGCCCCGCACGCCGCGCGCCCGCACGCACGCAACGCACGCACGCACGCACGCACGCACGCACGCAGCAGCCGCGCGCGCGCGCACGCGCGCACGCGCGCACGCGCGCACGCGCGCACGCGCGCACGCGCGCACGTGCGCACGCGCGCACGCGCGCGCACGCACACACACACACACGCACACACGCCAACACAGCATAGATGAGCACGCGGAGGAGGGAAAGGCGAGGGGGAGAGGAGGAGGAGGAGAAGGAGGAGGAGGCGGAGGAGGAGGAGGAGGAGGAGGTCCCTCCCCTCCCCCGATGGCGCCCGCCGCTGAAGGTGGTCGTCGACGACAAAGCGCACGCCATCTCAATGGAGGAGATGGCAGACGCGCAGGGGCCCATGCGGGCCCCCGCGATACCCTGAGTATACCTATTCCTCCTCCTCCTCGCCCCCCCTCCTACTCCTCCTACTCCGCCGCCTCCTCCTCCTCCTCCTCCTTCCCCTCTTCCCCCTCCTCCTCCCTCTCCTCCTCCTCCTTATCCCCCACCTCGTCGCCGCCGCCTCGTGGGGCCAGTGTGGGGCCATCGCGGAGGCCATAGTGGGCCACCCTGCATCCCCCTCACCGCCGATGCCTCAGAGGAGGGAGGAGGAGGAGGGGCAGGAGGGGGAGGAGGAAGCGGAGGAGGAGGGACAGGAGGACGATGAGGGGGAGGATGAGGACGAGGAGGATGAGGAAGAAGTAAGCGATGCTGGTGATGAGGAGGAGGTTTGTGTTCGACGTTGGAACTAGTCCGTCGGTCTTACACGCGTCGCCCGCCAGCCCACGCCGCCCCCAGGACAGCCATGGCGTGGCGATCGAGTCTGCTCGCTCTGCGGTTCGGGCAGCCCCGTCGAAAGCGTGGGATGAGTTCTGGGACGCCAGCCTTGAGATTTCGTATCGGACAAAGCCGAAGGCGGTGGTTGAGAGTGTAAAATCGTCGGAAGCATGTGCCAAAGGTAAGCTGACAGTGGTACCGCTGTCGTCCGACATCAAAGTAGGCGAGAAGATCCCCGCTGTTGCCCTCCCAGTTGACATGTCTGAGTTTCTGGTGAACTTACCCAAAACCAAGGTGTGCATAGTTCCCAGGCTGAACCTGCCCGAGAACCCCAATGACCCGAAGTCTGTGCAGAAAGCGTTTGTCGCCCCGTATACAGCCGCGCCCCGCAGCGAGCGATTCGACAGAAGCTAGCATGGAATGGACCACGGTGCTCACGCATGTGACTGCGGTGTGCGGTGCATCTAGCGGGCCCATTCCGATTCGCATTCCTGCGCTCCGCATTTCGAAGGCGATTCCGCAGGGCAAGCACATTTTTCGCCCGCCCAACTCGTTCATGCCCGCCCTGCCAGACAAAATGGATGAGACGACCTCTCATGAGGCCTCGGAGCCGCCTGCCAAGAAGGGCAGGACTTCGACTGGCAGTGGGGGCAAGCCTAAGGCCAAGTCCAAGGCCAAAGCGTAGGTATATGGCATGCGCATGCGTTTTTCAACGCCGAGCGCCTTGCCCCGCTCTGCCCCGAGCTGCCAGGCCCGTGGACAGGAGCAGAAAAGAGCAGGAAGCGGAGGATGGCGAGGAGCAAGAAGAAGATGAGGACGAGGAGCTAGAGGTCGAGACGGAGAAGGGGCAGCAACAATCTCGAAGGGGCGGATATTGTGCCCACGGCAGCTGCTTGCATCGCTCGGCAACGTGTGCTTGTCTGCTCCATCGGCCCCGCTGTCACGCGCAGCCTGCGCGGGTGGGTCTGACATTGTTCGCGAGACCCTGGAGGGCGCGTTCAGCGCGAGAGGGGTCGTTTCAATGCACGATCGCGCGACGCCGATCAGTCTCGCGACGATGACCGAAGCTGGAGAATTCACCGACCCAGCACGCATCACAGACACTGTGACAAACGACGGCGCTCGAGCAAAACACAACGAGGACTGGAGGAGGGGAGCGGAGGAGGACTAGGAGGGCTGAGGCAGGGAGAGGAGGATGATGAGGAAGATCAGAGGGACGCAACGGACATACAGGGTCACAACGAAAGGCCAATCGCAAGCACGCTTAAGCAGCCTCAACCGTTCCCAACTAGGTTCAAGAGGATAATGATAGGGAGGATGAGGGCGACTACCGATAATGAGCAGAGCAGACACTAACCAGCAGCAGCGACATCACACCAATAAAGGCAGTGCAAGGCCGATCGGCCCCCACACTGTGGTTGATGCTGGGTGCGTCGTCTTGTCACTGTTGGGTCTATTCGTCCCGTGGCTATGTGCGTGCGCGTGTATGTGTGGATGTAAACAGTCACGCAGTATGAGCCAATCACAAACATGCAGGCATCCGACAGTGAGCTGAAATCTAAATCTACATGGGGCCCCATGGTCCATGGTCAGAAGCGTCCCCGTAGCCATTTTGGCACAAGCTGGCCCCCACGTTTCACACGGTCTCTGCCCTCGCGCTCCAGACATCCAGGCGGTCACATTCGTGGCCTGACATGCCTGTCTCGATCAAGCTGGGCCACGCCCAAATCAGCCATGCGGCTGGCGAGCCCAAGCCGCGCAGCAGCTGGCATCCTCTCGTCCAGCAGATCGACGGGGTAAACTTTGTCCAGTGCGACAAGCTTGATACGCGTTTGGGGAAATCGGTGGAGCACGACTTCACGATGCTCGACCATATCTTCCAGGTCAGGAACAGCAAGACCGAGGAGCTGGTGTTCGTGGCCGACAGGGATGAGGACGACCCGCTCGCTGGCACGCACGCCGATCGCGCCGACGCCGCTGGCGCAGCGTTCGCTCCCCCCCTGAAGAAAGCTAAGAGGGTCTTGATCGACGACCTCCCGTCCACGATCGACGTCACCATCAAGCCAGACGCCGACGAGACCGTGTCCATCAAGGTGGTCCCAGCTGCCAACTCCAGGGCTAAACGCGTGGTGGAGCTGACGCGGGATGCGGTGGGCTTGCCCGCCAAGCAGCCAAAGGAGGTGCTGGCCCCCAACTTCGCCCCCGACATCGAATGCGCCAACGTTGTCTGGCCCCCATGCCGCCGCGCCCTCGTGGCCCGTTACTTCGACGGGCAGAAGGGCAAGTGGGCGACGAAGAGCATGAAGCTGTCGAGGGGGGTAGACATCCAGGAGAGGGCCGCGCGGCTCGCGAACGTCCTTCAGACGTACTACGACGAGCACCACCACGAGCCACAGTAGTTGCATGAGTTTTGCACATCGGCCAGTGGCGCAGCAGTTACACAACGATTTCGCCGACGTGTTTGGCATAGTTGCGCACTCGGCCACTGCATGGCACTAGCGCTTAGCCTGCCTCTGGGATGTCGACAACGTGGGTTGTAAGACGAGGCCGCCAGCGCATGTGGTGCTGTTTAACACCGAATGTGAGCTTGCGCACAATCGACAACCCATCGGCATCATCACGCCACCACCCCAACATCATGAAAATCACTGCTACACATCGTTACACACACTCTATACGCGAGCCACCGAACGTTGACATCTAGTGCGACAACGGCCGTGACACCAACGTACGTGCCGAAATAGCGATATGCATTAAGTCACCCTCGCGACTTGGTGCAATTGCATCAAGTCGCCATCACGAGTTGATGCAATTGCATCAAATTGCCACCACGGCTTGATGCAATTGCATCAAGTCGCCATCACGACTTGATGCATGAGAACAGTAAGCATGCACTGCACGAGGTCGTGCTGGCGACTTGTTGCAAGTGCATCAGGTCGTGAGGGCGACTAGATGCAATTGCAACAAGTCGCCATCACGACTTGATGCAATTTCATCAAGTCGCCATCACGACTTGATGCATCCATGAGTTGTGGGGGCACCGCCCCCGCAGTCGTCCAGCTGACCCGCTTGTGCATCCCTGCGTCACCAGTGTCGGCGTCGTCAGCATCACTATCACCAGCACCATCACCCTCCTGACATCATCATCTTTCTCAAGTGTTGAGCGCACTAGAGGTGAGCGCTGGTGTATGTTGTTGTTTTCGGACCATGCGTCGCCACCGTACCCTCGGCTGAGCCTTCGGTTAAACCCGAGTTCGGTGTTCGGGGCCCAGGAGATCCCAAAAACTGAGTCGGGGGCGTTGTCTGCTGCCTTAGAGTTTCGGTGCCCTGGCTCGCGCATCGTTCAACCCAAGCCCGCAACAACCGAAAGCGGGGTTGGCTCGACTAGCTCACGATGCCCCCCCTTATCATTAATATCCTCCCCCTCCCCCATCCTCCGACCCCCTTCCGTTCCAGAACCATGTTGGCTCAAAGTGACTTGGATCGCCTGTGCCCACTCGCCCGGATCTGCCGTCGACAATGTCAGGGGCGACGGCCGCTGACCTAGCTGGGATCATTCGCAGCCGCGTCGCCTTCATCAACTCTCAACTGGCGGCTGGGGTAGACAGGGATGGGCTGTTGACGAGGCAGCCGCGCGCGCTCATCGCAACGATCAGCTCGGTGCCCGGTCTCACGGCGGAGCACGGCGCTGCGATCTCTAATGAGATCACTGCTGGGCCGTGGTCGGCAGGGCAGAAGGCGGCCACGGTAGCAACTGTCGAAGAAGTGTTTGCGGGCGGCATCACTAGCACTGGAGGCAGCCGCCCCCAGCAGCACTGCGATCATTCCCATGCTTGCCTGACCCTCGACGACTGGCAGTTCATCCAGGACCAGTCGCTTTCGCGGGCTGCAAAGGTGGAGCGGCTGGCGATGCGAGCGTGGAGCATCGGCATCACTTGCCCAGCCGAGTCGGTCCCAGAAGCGTGCAGCGGCCATCATGGCGATGAAGGGGGAGCCTGGGCCAGTCGACAGCCGTCAGCTCAAGGTGACCGGCGATGACTTCCAAGCGGCCGTCAAACTGCTGGACTCCAGCCAGCGGTGGCCATTCGGTCACATCAAGAGGTACTTGGCGTCTGCCGATATGCTGCCGCCCTCGGTCTTCCAGTTCGCCTACCAGGGCGTTGCGCCGACTTGGCCGTTTGACCACCATGAATGGGATCGCGCGGCCTACGACGCTACCATCAAGCGGGCCGTCAGCAGGAACACCCACAAGACCTTCAAGTAGACGTTGACCGCCATCACCCCCTACGTCCAACAGAGGGCGGGAAGCTCCGCGGCCATGAGCCACGGGGGCCCGATGAGCTTCAGCACCTCCATGGGCGGCAACCCTATGGAGCAGATGGCCCAGCTCATGGGCGGCGCCATGGTGAACGCAATGCAGTCGGCATTCGGGTGCATGCCTTCCGGCGGCCCTCGCATCATGCTGACCCCTCCTGGCGCTGGGGCGCAACAACGCAGCAACCCGTTGGCCGACTACGCGAGCCGCGAGGACAACCCGCGTGGCAAGCGGAGGTCCGCAGACTCACTGAGCGCAAGTACGCTTCCGACGCGCGGCAGCGGGGTCGACGTCGAGAGGTCGCCCGATCGGAGTCCCGAGCCCCCTCCACTCGCAGACGATCGTGGCGCTGACGAAGCTGCCGAGCTCGAGGCGAGGATGCAGCAAGTCGCCTCGGGGAAGAAGGCGGCGAAGGGCACGGGCGCCACGGCAGAGAAGAGGGGGCGCCCTTGTGGGAGCGGGAAGCCCAAGGAGAAGGCCAAGGCCAAGGCGACCGCCAAGGCGACGACCAAGGCATCGCCTGGCCCCCGCGCGCCGTCCAAGGCCGACAGCAGCAAGGGCAGGGGGGGCAAAGGCAGCACGGGCCATACGGTGGATGGGAAAGCTGGGGTGGTGAGGGAGGCGAGGATTAGGAGGAGTCCACTTTAGCAGAGGAAGGGGGAGGGAAGGAGTGGAGAGCAAGCGATAGCAAAGGAGAGAGCGAGTGATAGCGAGCGAGAGCGCGCATCGCCAGGCAAGAAGCCCGTGAGCACCATGAAGATCAACGGCTTTCGCACCGCCGCGGGCATCAACTGCCGCAACTGCAACACGTTCGCTAGCTGGTGCTACGGCAGGGCGAAGACGAGGGCAGCCCAGGCGGGCATGAGCGAGAGCGGAATCAAGGAAGCAGCGAAGGCAGCTTATTTGAAAGCGTCGCAGGTTTGGCATTCTGCCAAGTAGGTTCAGTCTGAACACGTCGGTGAGGCAAGCATGCTGGGGACTGTTAGTGCTTGACCTCTTTCGTTTTTCGTGACGGCGATGGGCACGTTTGCGTTTTTGTTAGGTTTGTGCACTGCGTCTATGAGCAGATGCGAAACAGGCCCTGGAATCCGTGAGCGGGCACCGTTAGCATCGCCAGAAGTAGCGCCGTTTCAAGCAACATGGGTATCCATACATATGCGCTCAGCATGTGCTCAGGTGGCGTCGACATGGCCTCCTCCTCGTCCTTCTCATGCCTCTTCGTCCTTACCGTCGCCCTCGTCGTCCTCGTCATCCTCATCCCTATATCCACCTCGTCCGCGTCCTCCAAGTGCATCGTGTTCCAGCATGCCCCTCATCAGTGCTTGGGGGAGGGGTGCGTGGCAAAACAGAGGGGGTATACGACCTGAGGCAGCATGCATCAGATGTCTGGCAGCGCAGGGCGTGGTAAGGGCTCGACTGGCCGATGCCTCTGCCTCCTTAGTGTTACCCCTCTCGCACACTTTCAACTCTCGCCCTCTCTATCCCCCCCTCCTCCCCTTGTCTTCCGTTCCGCCCCAGCATATGCTACTCCTCGCACCCCGCCTCATCCTGCTCGCCGCGTCGTCCCCTTCTACTCCTGTGCAGCATGCTCCTTTCATCTCTCCAGCTCGGTTTGTCCATCGGGTCGGCGCGGGTCAGCCGCAGCTGTTTGGGGCAAGCCTCATTGTCGGTATAGCATTCCTGGCGCAGTATCGCACATGTCTCAACCAAAGCGTCCGAAGTTGTCCCAGATGGGGAAGTCAGCATTCGTCGCGACATCAGGGGTGGCGCGCCTTATGGACCAGATCAAGACGGAAGGGCCCCCCGATGCGTTCTCTCCACGTTCGCTTGCACGGGGCAGGGTCAGAGCCGCCAGCCAACAGACATCCTTCGGCCCTCTAGTTCAGAAGGTGATGGTGCCCATAGACAATGGCGACCCCATGGAGATATGGGTTCAACACCCTTTTGGATGGCTCGAGGCCGCGTCGAACGAGTCAGCATCTTTCAGTGGGCTGCTTAGGCGGACGCTTGATCTTTCGAACAACGAGTTAGATTTTTATTTGCACTGTGACGAGGTCACACCAGGGAACCCGCTGGCCGAGCACAACCAGCGCAAGGTTCAGTGCATTTATTGGGCGTCCTCTGCGGGATTGCAAAGCCAAATGGGGTAGACTTACATGTGGTATATTGCGTGCGTGGGGTGGTGTGTGTGGGGGGGGGAGGGGGGGGGGCTGAGGGGCTGCCACCCCGTGTGGTAGGGGGTCGGGGAGAAAACTGTAGGTTGGCCCTGTACCGTGGCTTTGCGTTCCCCGACGTTCGCCACTAGGTGAAACAACTCGGCTCCCCCATGCTCTGTGCGGAGGAGTTGTGGTTTACAGCCTGTTGCATCCGCTCCACAGAGGAGCATGAATTTCCTGGGGGGCTGCCCCAAATCATGAAGGTACTATTGCAGTTATTCTTAGGCCGTCCGAGTGCCCCTGACTTGCGGGATGGGGTCGCGCTGCGTCTTGGAGGAGACCGGGGGCCTAGATTTGTCTTGCGGCCCTGCTTGCCGATGAGCGTGAGCATAAGTTCAGCATCCACTGTAAGGGGGCGGGTGGACACAAAGCGTGCTTGCTATGCAAGAATATCCTGGGGCACAAATCGAGCTGGTTACCCGATAGGTCAGGATACTGCCCCCCATCGACAACCACGGACGTCACCAAATTCGACCTCCAGACAAAGGCGTCCATCCAGGGAATCCAGGGGCGCCTCAGGACCATTGGGAACAATCCAAGGATGAAATCTAAGTTACTCGAGCTGCAAACGTCGCTGGGGTTCAATTATGTGCCCACTGGAGTTCTACAACATCCAGATCTCGACATTGATATTCCCCAGGTGCTGACGCGGGATTACATGCATGTGTACTTGGTAGGGGGGGTGTTCGTTGTAGAATTCAGCTCGTCTCAAAACGTTATCCCGTCACGGGTTCGGAGGGTTGACCCTTGATAGGTACTTGCAGAAGTGGGAGTGGCCAGGGGCGTACGGCAACGGGAAGGACGTGCGCAGGAAACTCAAGGACTCGGGAGTTTCGGAATACCACTCGGAAGACCTTCCAAATGGCCCAGGAGCAGGAGGGGCACCAGGAGGGAGCAGGAGCAGGAGCAGGAGCTGGAGCAGGAGCAGGAGCAGGAGCAGGAGAGGTCGGGGGGGCTCTGATGCAAGCGTTTCTCTGAGGACGGTTCTCCTGGAGGGAGTGCTAGCGAGCAGTTGAGCGTCGCCCCGCTCTTCCACAAGTACCTTCGAGATGTTGTGCCATCTGATGTTTGCGTTGCAGAGGTTCGGAGTGCACGTTTGTTGTGCGAGGTGGTCGAACTCTTCAGCGTAGCCAACGCTGGTGCGATCAGCGGCCATGAGCTAGGAGCTGCGATTGCGGCCCACCTTGGGGCCCACAAGGCGGTCTACGGCGACAGGCTGTGGCTGCCCAAGCATCATTGGGCGCTACACCTCTCGCCCCAATACGTTCGTCACTCTTGTTTGTTAGCTACTTTCGTGCACGAGCGTAAGCACAGAGTAGCGAAGCGTTACGCTAACGCTCGTCACAACACTTGCTCCTACGACAAGGGGCTGCTAGAATATGTAACTTGCCATGCTTTGCGCGACGTTAGCAGTGAGTTTTTGAAGTGCGGATTGCTTAACCCTCGGGGTGCCAGTAAGGAGCTGACAAATGTGATGTGGGCAAGTGTGCCTTTGTTCAGTGGCCAACCCAGTGTTACAGCGAGAGCAGCCCAGGTCAACTCCAGAGCAGTTCAGGTTGGAGACGCAGCTGCACTTTTCAATGACAGCTTCGATATTTGCATTGGGGGGGGTCAACTTCCACGTAGCAGTTTCGGGTTCTCTTTTGACGTGCGCGTCGCTGTGGCCTCTCGTGCAGATGCACGGCCAGCTCGCTAAGTGCGAGCGTCGGGATGGCCCGCGCTTGATCGAGATGTCTAGGCTGATAGAATCATGCATGTACTGGCCGTGTGCTGTGGGATGTATTTCGCAGATTCTGCTTCCGCCCAAATCCGACATTAAAGCAAAGCGGAACTAGTTAAGGTGCGGTGAGTATCAAACACGGATCGGGAGAAAAATATAGTGGCAACAGGATTTGGGAGGGGAGACCGTTTGTGGCGCGTGTTCCAGTTGCTTCTCCGACGGCCAAGTCGGCAGCTCTTTGCCGAGCAGGTTCGTACTGTCCACGCTTGGGATCCATGTGCGTACGGAACAAAACCATATGGTTTCCTTCTGCTGCTGCTGCCCCCTTCTCCTCTCCCTCCTGCTCCTGCCCGTCCCCCCCGCCCCCATCCCCGTTTCTCCATCGCCCGACCCTCACTCATCCTCCTACTTGTATTAGTTACCCAACGATGTTTTGTATTGATTTCGGCAGATTCATGTTTGAAGTTGCCTCCGTTACCCTGGATCTTAACCTGGTTAACCTAGTTAGCAGGAAGCGCCCTAAACAGGTTAGCCTGGTTAACACAACCAGGTTATAAGTTGGTTTGCAGTGTCCGTGTCGCCACTTTCGCACACAGCTTACCATCCAGGATCATATCCTATATAGAAAGCCCTGAACTAGATCTATTCGCCCTATGTGGTTGCTAACCAGGGCGCCGATCCAAGTTCCCTATGGAAACCCGCCCTCTCTCTCTCTCTCTCACACCATAAGCGATGCGCCCACTCCAAACCAGCAACATGATCGACCAACGAACCCTGAAAGGCATATAGAAATGTAAGACATGGCAACGTTCCAAAGACACTTGATAGGGCGACGGGCAAATGCAATGCTCAGTGTACCGATATTGATATACCGTGTCGAGGGTTTTGCTGTGCAGCGCTGTGCTGAAATTCGATGCGCCATGCCACGATTGTGCTCTATAGCATTGTGGATCGAGTCCTCCTTTGCATCCGAGTCCTGACCGAACGG